ACCCATCAGTGGTACTCAGCACAAGCTGGCATGGATAGTGCTGACTGGCAGCAGCAGTGACCAGCAGCTGGCAGTGTCAACTACCAGTATTACCTGGCGACATCAGAACAACTAGAAGAGCTGCGTTTGGCCGATTCATGATTTCCATCTGAACTGAGGAAAAGAACCCTAAGCTGGTTGGAAGAACACTAAGTTCCTACCTGGTGTCCCTTCCACACCAGGCAGGAACTCCTGCAAGCCTCTTGATGTTGATAACTATTAAGATATTCATCACAGACTTTTTAGATTTCAATAGTAGTGATCTATTAGCCATAAAATAGTAGCAGATCTAACCATAAAAAAGAATTTTTGGAAAATTGGAAATTTAATATGGTCACACACTTTGAGAGGCCCTTCATACACAAGAAGGCCATCTCCATATATGCTTCTGCTTACTGCAGAGCTCAGAAAAGCACTTAATTTGTCATTTCAGATCTCACTTAAAGCTAAGAATCTAGGCTAGCTTTAAAATCTCCATAAAATAGTCAAGAAAGTCAAATCTACTTTTGATGTTGTTATTGTTGCTATTTTGATCTTGCAGGGAAAAAACAGGCCAAAAAAAGTACATAATTATCACCTACATACTTGGAGTAAAGGAATGAGATTATAGAACACTGGGAAAATATATATATACAGAAATTTGGCAAGATGACTCAGAAATAGTCACTGAAAATAGCTCAGCTCTTGAGTATGGTGTGACAGAGCTGCCAACAACGAATTCATGTAATAGAATAATTGATGACTTGGTGACTGCAGTTCCTTAAACGTTCCTGTTGGCAGACAGGACTACTGGACAGAGGGTAGGGAGTCATCTGATGGTAAATTCCAGGGCAGCAGCTGCTCTTGCTTTCACATGATCCCCTCAGTGTCTCCTCCCCTCTGTCTGCCTAGGCACCCCTGGGGACCACACCTCTGTCTGGCTGAAGAGCCCTCCCTGCTTCTCCTTTCTTGTCTTGTGCAAGCCGACTGCTTAGGGCAGTTCCCTCTTTAAAGCCACCACCCCCATCTTATTTTTCACTTCCCTTCCACTCTCTAAACTGGAGATGCAAGTTTGCCTGCTTAACCCTCTTTTAACCCTTTCATGCCCCTCCTCCCTAACCTAAGTTTTTATGTTCTCTTCTTGGCAGGTTGCCTCAGGGAAGCAGGCAGGGAAACACAAATGTGGGGAAGTCTCAGAGCTTGAGAAATCTCAAATTCTCCCTGCTGGGCCCTGGCTACAATTCCTGGCTCCCCACAATCTGTACCTGACTGCGTAATGTTGGAGCTTACCTTTCCCAGGTGGTGGGAGAAACAACTCCGCATTCCTGCCCCCTTTCCTACCGAGGCCTCCTTCCCAGCCTTAGTTAGGCCTGCAGTTCTAATAGAAATCAAGGGTGGACTCTCTAGGATCCCCTCTGGCATCATTTTTCTTAAGTAACGAATTCCCATTTCCAAAGGCCTCCAGGTTGGATGCATATTTTTTTTCCAAAGGATGCCCTACCTCACATACTCTGGAGAAATGATTTCCTCCAGATATTCAGAGCATAGACTCCAGAGTCAGGCCATCTGCCACTTACTTAGTACCTGAATGACCACAGGCACAACAGTGAATCTCTAAGCTTCAGTTTCCTTAGGGTTGTGATGAAGATTCAGAGAGATGGTCCTGCAACACAGTAAGAAGTGACATCAGGAGTCTTGATGTCTAGTTGTCACAGTCCAGCTCCTACTGGGTAATACCTGGCCCAGAAGGGGGCCTCCTGTACTTGGCTCCATCACCGTAGCTGTCATTCATTCGGAGGGGTCTGTAACTATGCCAACCCAGTTGCTAAACATTTTTAATCTTAATATTATTTGCACTGTGTGCTAAAAGCAAAGCACACAGAGAAATGTATGCAGATGGGTTATTAAAGCACTGGAGAGAAGAGAGACAAATCATCAGCTAAAATGTTGGAAGGGTAAGGGGGGAAAAATGACTTTTGTCTGCAGCAGGATCATAATGATTTATGGCACAATAGAGGAGTCTAGGGAAGATGACTATATTTGTTTCCTGTAGCTGCTGGAACAGATTACCACAAACTGAATTTTGAACTGTATTCAAAATCAACAGACCTTCCTCTGCTCTACTTTGGAGTCCAAAAGGTCTGTGCTGCCTCTGAAGGATTTTGGAGAGAATCCTTGCTTACCTTTTCCAGTGATGGGTGGCTTCAGGAATTCCTTGGTTTGGGGCAGTGTAATCCCATTCTCTACCTTTATCTTTATGTGCCACCCAACCTCTTGTCTCTCTGTGCTTCAACTCTCTCTTTGCTTTTCTGGCCTACCCTAAATCTAGAATGATCTTGAGATCGTTAACATCATTGTATTTGCAAATAACTTTTTTCCCAAATAAGAACACAGTCATAGGTTCTGATGATTGAGATATGAACATTTTTCTTTTTCTTTTTTTTTTTTTTTTTTTTGAGACAGAGTCTCTCTGTGTAGCTTACATAGGATAAGCTACATAGAGGATAACCTTGAAGTCGAGGTTATCCTCCTGCCTCAGTTTCCCTAGTGCTAAGATTAGAGGTCCATACCACCACACCAAGCTGAGATTTGAACATATCTTGCTGGCAGCCACTATTGAATGCACTATAGTTATATATAAAAGCAGGGCCCATGAGCAGAGGCATATGAGAGCATTTCATGAATATTGTGGTTCATATGTTATGCACCCTATACTTCATGATTTTCAGGAAAGTATAATTCTATGACATTCAACTGTATAATATGGACCTCGATGTTACCCAGACATGCTCCTCAGTACTTTTCTCTTGCTCTGGATCTAGCAAGAATCACCTATCCATTTGTCTTTTCACATTTAAAAGACACTGGCATTCCTTGGTTTACGGCCCTATAACACTTCCATCTCCTATTGCATCTTTACATCTCCCTTTTCTGGCTCTGGCCTTCATCCCTTCCTCCTACAAGGGCAGTTTTGGTTACCATGCACCGTCCAGACACCCCAGCATAACTTCCACATCTCAAAATCTTTAACGTCATCACATCACAAAGCCACCTTTCCATATCATACAATACAATCAGATTCTAGAGATTAGGGTGTGGTCATCTTCAGAAGGCTGATATTCCTTGGATTATTTGCAGGAAGTTGGACTTTATTCTAAGAGCAATAGGAATTAATGGAAAATTTGAAGCAAGGAGTGAAATCAGCAGAGTCCAGATGACCAAAGCAGGAATTGTTAGGCCGAGTCAAACATTAGCAGGTCTAGAGACACAGCTGGGTATGCATGAAAAGCAAAGGAGAGTGACTTGTTTTCCTTTTTCCTTCATTTTCTTAATCATTAGCTATAGATCAAATCCTTTGCCTATGGTTTCCAACCTTAGCCAGAGAGAATGTAACCTCCTCTGAGTGTGCTGACAAGGTCCAGGACCTGTACAAAGTCCAGACCATCGTGAAGGATTAGGGAAAACTTCAAAGTCTCAAAACAAATTAAATGGAAATAGCCCACCGAGAGAGTAAATAGGAAACATCTTCCATCAGAAGCTGGTCAAAAAGATCCCATTTCCTGTAAAAGATCAATGGCCTTGAAAGAAAGGAAGTTATATTCCTTAAAAGACCCAGTCAGTCATAAAAATGTGACCTACACCTCCTTTGATGCAACTGCCATCCTGGTATTTGCCTATCTTCACATTTGAAGGTGTATTCTATCTATTGCCCTGAAAAAAATCTATCATTTTGCAATAAAAATCTATATCCTGAATGATGTCCTAAGGGTCCTATCTAAATGCATTCATCAAAGACAGAGAACAAAATACTTTAACTGGAAGAAAGATATCCTCTTTAATAAATGGTGCCAGGAAGACTTGCTTTCCACATGCTGAAGATTAATACTAGACCCATACCACACTTATCAGGCACTAAACTAAAATT